AGGATAGGACTTAATTAGAGCTTTCCTTAACTCTTTAAATTTTTAATTCCTATTAATCCTTTTCTTAATCTCTAATTGTTAAGTGGTAGTAAGCTTGTCACCTATATTAGTCTAAGCTTTAATAACGTTTTTGCATTTAGGAGGTTTCTATAGGTAAGATCTACTATATAGGCATGAAGACTCCTTCTTTAGTTAATTAGAAGGTGGAGCTCCTATTGTTGCAAATACTCTAGGACCCCTAGAGCTTAATCTTATGTTATTTTCTTAGAGAAGTGATAAATAGATCTTAGCAACCTGCAGGAGGTTGTATGTTAGCTCTCCCATTACTAACTTTTTAATAATCCTTTAAAACATAGTTTAACCCTAATCTAGTAAGATCCTAGTAGATAGAGCTTTAAGATAATCCTATACTATAAGCTATCCTTTAACATTAGGAACGTTATATACCTTAGCTCGCGCATACAGGATTGTCCACTCCTTTTGCTAGCAATTAGCGTCTTAACTACTTATCTTTGCTTTAGCAAGATAAGCTTTGTACTGCGATCTTGCTAGTGTTGCAGCGCTTAAATTAGTTAGCGCTAGGTTGTTGCGGAGCACTTAGATAAGTGCTTAGAGGGTTACTCTTCCTTAATTAACAAGCTCTATATAGGCTAGGGTAAGGATCCCTTAATCTACTATGTTGTTAACCTATGTGAAGAGGTTCTAGATTGCTAATAACTTTGATGCCTAATCTAATAAGCGGGCTTAGTACTAAGCTATTTAGAGCTTGTACTGCTCGCTTATTATGTTAGATAGCGCAATATTTGTTAGCATGTTAGGCTTAATAGGTTTATTCTTAAAGTGGTTTTCAGTATCTAGAGCCTTAGGGTCTACCTCTGCCTAGATCCCTTTAGTTAGGGCATGGTATCTAAATTGAATGTACCAGGTAGGCTAGTTAGTTAATCTAGTAAGTAGGATATCCCCCTTCAGGATTTGGTCGCTTATAGTAGAAGAGTAATAAGTAAGCTTCTACTTAAGAAATAGTATAAAGAAAGAGTAAAGCTTTGCTAGCTTAGTGTCCAAGTCAAACAATACGCTTAAATAGATAGGACGATCTTTAATAAGGTAAAGCGCAAGCTAGGCTCATAACTATAGAAAATTAGATTACTAAGGTTAGGAATAATTTAGGAGATAGATTATTAGATTATATCTACTACGATCGGACTTATATATATAGAGCTTCAGCTACCCTTACCAGAAGGTGAATAATTGGTAAACCTTCCTTACCAGAGCTCCTGCTTTTTGTTGGGCGCTTGGCAGTAAGCTGGCAGTTAATCAGATAGTGGGTCATACAGGGGTATTAATCGGGATTGATCGGATCAAGATGCTCCGTGATCCGGTTGATATCCCTCCTGCAACAACTTTATACTAGATAATAAAGATAAACTAGTTACTATCTACTATATACCACCCTTAGATAGATAGTAGGATAGAGTAGGTAAACTAAGAAGTGCAGGTAGTGCTGCGTATAATAGTATGCTTTAAGCAGACTAACTAGCCTAACTACCTACTAGCCTGCTAACTTACACTTAATAATAGGGACTCTAGTATAACTAGTGTTAGCCTAAATCTACTTTTAAATAGGTATACTATAGACACGCTATAAAAGGTAATTTTACTACTAGTAAAGCCTAAGAATCCTTATAGAGAGGCTATAGCGTTCTTATTACACCTATAGAGGGGTGTAGAGCTAGTATAAGCTACTATTATATTCTAATAGTAATAATAATAGGAAATAATAAACTAGTCCTAACGCCTAGCTAAAAAATTCCTAAAAGGTAATATAGTTTAGTTTATAATACGCAATATAAAGATAAACTAACTAAGTAGAAAGTTTAACTAGCTATAGGTAAAGTATAAAGTAATAAAAGTTCCTACTCTACTTATAGTAGTATTAGACTTACTAGGGAGCTTATATAAGACTATATATATAGATCTGCTAGAGAGAGCTACTAATAACCTACTACTAAGCTAGAAGCTTTAGGACTTATAACTAGGTCTAATAGTTACTCTAAAGAATAAAGATACAATACTAGATAAATAGGAAGTAGAAGAGATCCTTTATATAAAGAATATAAAAGGAAAAGGAAAGTGTTAAGTCCTAGTAAAATAAAAGGGGTATATTAATCTAATATAGCACCTACTAGAGGTAGTATAGGATACTAAGGCTCTAGATAAGTTTAAGGAATAGTATAGGGATACTATATATAATAATAGCCTAATATATATAAAAACTAAGAAGTAAGGGTAAAAGGAAACTAGAATAATAACTTAGACCTTTATTATAATTAAGAAGGGGAAAGGTATTAAAGAAATCTTTTAATTATCCTTATAATACTCTAAGCAAGTGCCCTACTACTAAAGTTTATAATATAGCTAATAATTAGGTAGTAGTATCTATACTATTACTATCTATAACTAACCCCCCCTTAGCCCCCCCTAAACTATTATTTATATTATTCTAACGCCTCTATATCTCTTAGTAATAGTAGTAACGCTTACGCGTGGCACAGGTAGGGGATAACTTAGTTAATAAGTATAAGTAGTAGTAGTAGCAGCGTTAGGAGAAGGGTAGTACTTTAATAGCTTACTAATATATAGTACCCTAGGCCTAAAGAAAATAAATATTAGAATAGATATAAAGGGAATAAGGGAAAACTAATACTAATAATAAGAGTCTTAATACCTTAGGTAGTGTACTTAGTAGCACTCTTAAGCCTATTAATATAAAGGTTAGTTTAGGCCTAGGTCTTATTTATACGCTAGTTAATATACTAGAAGGTAACACTAGTAGTAGTAGCAAGCTATATAATATTATTATTACTATAACTACTATATAAAGGTGTAATAGTAGACTAAAGAGGAAATACTAGAGTACTAGTAGTAGATAGAATAATAGCACTAAGCTAATACTAATTATAGGCGCGCAAGTAAGTAGTAAGGGTAAGTAAAGTAATAGCGTTATTAGTTTAAGCCCTTAATATAAGATCCTTAAAATAATAGTAGAGCTAGTAGAACTATAGTATAAACTAGTAATAGGTGCCTTTAGTAGGTTTCCCTATAAAAGTGCTAAGGGTCCCCTTCTTTATAATATAAAGGTAATCCTCCTAGTAACTATAATAAAACTAAAGCTAGTTATAGAGGGCTTAGTAAATATTAGGATTATTAGTAAGGATAGCTTCTAACTAAGTATAAGTCTTATAGCTATAATAGTAGGACTTATATAAGCGCCCTAGATATAGTTAGAACTTGCTATAAAGGAAATAAAAATTAAGGGGAACTTACTACTACCCTCCTAATAGTTATACTTACTAAAGAGATAAAGCTAGTTAATATACTAATTATAGGGAAGTAGCTTTATAAAGCTACTATTATATTCCTTATTATCTAAGTTACTAGAAATAATAAAGCTACTAAGTAACTAGGTTTAGGGAGATATATACTAAATAAAAAGTTAGTGCAGGAAATATAGGGAGAATATTAGAAGTACGCACCTTATCTTAGTAGGCTTAGCGCAGGGTCTAACTGCCTTATAGTAGATCCCTACTACTAGCACTAGTAGCTATAGATAAAGATATAATAGGGACTAGATAGGCAGGATTAATAGAAAAAGATTAGAGAAAGGGCTAATTAGTAGGGAAAATCTATTATATAACAAAGTAAGTTTAGGAAATTTATAGTAGGGTAGGATAGCTATATTAGAACTTTTATAGTAGGGTGCTAAAATAAGCATATAGACGCTACGCGCGCATACTACTTAATATATTAGCCTATTATAAATTAGGAAGGAATATAAAGATATAATAATAAAACTAAAAAATATAGTAATAAAGCCTAATATAGATTGTGGAGGATAAAGATATAACCCTAGACCCTAGAAAGACGATTTCACGATAGTCTATAGGGGAAGGTTAGGGGTATATAAAGGACTTAGGCTTATACCTAAGCCTAGGTCTAATACAAGACAGACCAAGTCTAATACCACTACTAAGCGAACACACTAGAACACACTAGATATCTATAAAAAGGCGTGGAGGGCTTATCTCTCCTTTAAGATACTAAATACTATTATTAACGCTTATTGCATTCTCCCTTAAGGCCAGTCTATAACACCTCCTATTAGTAAAAATATTATAACTTATTATTATATTATATATACGTATAGCGTAAAGCTAATATTTTCTACCCCTTTTAGTCTTAGTTAGGTATTATAGTATATAATAGAAATAAAACTACTTTTTATACTTAATTTAAACCCCTACTATAAAAGTAAACTACTACTTTAATAAAAGTAAACTACTTATAGGTATATATAAGGTTAGCTTACACCTATATAGTAAACCCCTAGCGTACTATTCTATAGTAAACAATTTTTTACCGTAGTGTGGTTTGCTCGATATTTGACTTCAATTCATCTCATCTTTGCCTCCGACGCTGACCTCTACACATCGTAGGTGAATGTTTGAGGCAACAACTTAAGAATTAACCTTAGAACTGCTCTGTCGTCCACACAAGTCTCTAAATTTGTTCGCAATACCCTGCCGATCTTGCCCAAGGTCACCACACCGCCGGTTTACCATCACATATACCTGCTTTAGTCCATGAATCAACATCTGGGCCATAACTAACTTCGTTTTACATATCCTCACTAAGATGGGTGACCGCGAGCGTATCATCCACAAGAGAAAGCTTACCCTCTGCGATGCAACCGCAAATTGGTCTGTACCAGAACTCCTCCGAGAATGTCCTATGTGCGGCGAATTCCTGTTGTATTGCTGCTCATGCAACAATAAATCTCTTGGCCGTCCTCGAAACCATCGACTGAATATACCTTGCCACCACTTTCGCATCATCTTCACTGATGGGGCGTGTGCGAACAACGGACAACCGGGAGCAAAATCAGGAGTTGGTCTAGCATATGGCAACGGTGAAGGCAGCCACTGTCCAAACCTATCACGGAAATGGTGGACATCTTCCCACTACGCTCAAACCAGCGAGCGGAACTCTTGGCGGCCAAGTTAGGTGTGGAGTTTCTCAGTAAGGCCTACACCAAGGATCCCACGGACAAAGCTGCAGCTTGGATTATCGCGACCGACTCCGAGTACGTTGTCAAGGGTATGACAGAATGGTTACCGAAATGGGAGGTATGTCCTGACTGTCTTGACCATGGCTTCTACAAAACACTTCTAACCGAGCTCATAGAGCAACAACTGGCCTACGTCCAACGGTACTAAACCAGCAAATCTGGATCTGTTCCTCGCTCTCGATGACTTGGTGACGACGCAAAAGGCGAATAATTTGACGGTTAGTCGCTATAAAAACGTATGTTGGCTGCATGCAAGACTAAGATCACGTAGATTGGGTTCTGGCATATCCCAAGGGAGCATAACAAACTTGCCGATCGGCTTGCGAAAGCGGCTGCTTTCCACGGCGATGAGGCTGGGATGTAGGCGCAAGGTGCGATGCATCAACCCCAGGCGCACACGGGGGAACTTTGGACGACGATGTCACATGCCTTCTACACATTATGATTCAGTCTCACCTTGGTAATTTAAACGTGGCTTGTATTACAGGCAAATCATTATGTAAGACATGCTCATTGCGTTAAAAAATAGCCCTGCTTAGAATACTTTAGTAAAAAGGACCATCTAGGATTGCAACATTCAAAATCTTTCTCAGATCGAATGCCTACAATGCAATAGACACATTTAATTTTTGATAAATATTGATAATTATTTAGATTAATTAAGATTTAGTAAGTAGGTTTGATAAAGGTCATTATATGGACTAGGTAAGCAGAGGTAATAGAGATTGGTGTTGTACCGGTAACGCTTCTTTTGCAACAGTTAATCTTTGGAGTTAAGAGAAGTTCATCAAACGCTCAAATCACACTGTTGTCACATACCCCGGTAGCTACCGGTACTGTCAGCAAAAATTCGGACAATGAACTACCACTCTCATCTAACCATTACATCAACGGCATTGCCGCGACCTACGTCTAATCTTCTTTCTGTGCATTACTGACTAACATGGAGCCTCAAACGCGCACTTTGTTATGATATGGTAGTTGCGTTCATAACGCTTTCCCCCACGAGTATTCATCAACTTCCGCAGAGACCAACACCACCTGATCAATTGACCTACCGCAACCAAGTATCTCACTTCAACAGAATATCACACGGTGCTTACCATTCCTTACACGATGTCTTCTCAGCAATCAAAAACAACATCCCGGACAGTAGTCCAAGATAGATTCTCGCGCATATCCATGGCTAACATATCCAGAGCTTCTCTGCACAAGGTAGTAGCATTGGAGAGTTCCATACCACGCGCGATTCTACTGGTCACATCATCCTAGCAGACGCAAAACTTGAAAACAGTTGTTTCACTCGAATGATCATCGACGATCCTATTCTACTTCGGATGTTCGAGCCTGAGGCAATTCCAGGTTGTCACGACCTGGATGGAAATCCATGGCCACCGATGCAGCTTACTCATATTCCACATGGTCAAGCTCGTCAATCAATTTACGAGTCGTTGCACGAGATCTCGGACATTCTACGCCAAGAAGCAAAGACGCCAAACTTTAATGAGGATGAGAATAAATCGGCATTCGAACCACGGGCGCACTTCGATCTTGGGCGACTTGTGGATCTCTCCCGGTTGCCGAATGGGGCGTCGAGTGCGGATGAGTATCCACAGGCTAATGCGAACGCACGAGAAGCGGTGCTCAATTCTATCCGAGAAATGTTCTTTTCAGGGCTTATGCCAGCTTTACGGCAGCGCAGTCTTGCCCATCCCTTCAATCAGCCATTCCAGGTTGAGTTAACCCCAGCCGGTGCAGCTTCGACTTTCCCTTCAATGACCCACCGGCCGCAATCAACGGCAGGCCCACCTACGGCTCATCAAAATGCAAAAGCCCCAGCTCAACAAGAGGATAATAATCAAGTTTCGCACAACGAAGCTACAGTGGAGTCCGAGCAGCGACATGAGGGCAAGGCTTTACCACCTTCGAAAATTGATACACGGCAGTCTTCTACCGTTGGAAGACATGCAGATTCATCAACCCAGAGTAACATTGACGTCTTGCCGTATCCCGGCAACTCCGCCGGCCCCACCGTGAATCGTGCTAAAGATACCACCATGCGCAACAACTTTGGTCCAATCCGTGGCCACACGCAAGGTCGAGGACAGCGATCTTAAAGGAAGCGAAATAAAAGCCCAAACCACTGCCTATACCCACAAGGTGCTCGCCACGACGCCGGTAAGGCTTTATGGGACAACACAAACTCGCTGCTTCCCGACTCTCCAACCCGCGAGCAATATCGTACGTATATCCGGGCGACGCGGATGAAGGTGGCAGACGATCCTGCGGCGAAGGCGGTGTTCCATGCTGAGCTTGCAGCATTCGTGACGAGAATGCATATTGTGGAAGAACACAATGCTTATGCTCGATTCATGAAGATTGGGTACAACAAGAAGCATCATGTCCCGATAGTGGCGTGAGATTAGTGGAGATATGAGTAGTGAGGCTCACAGAACTCTATGGTGATAGCCAAGTACTGATGAGTGATGGAAAAGGTCATGGGTTCAGATTACATAGACACGGATGGTGTTATTGCAGGCTTTGGATGCACCTCTAGCATTGCTTGATCATGATACTAGGCATTCCAGATTCTATAAATGTTTCTGTACTATGCCTTAACGTGGCTTTTCTATCATATTGTACCAAACGTGCTAGTGAAATGTAAGACATGGAAAGTATGCTCACTATGGGCTGATCAAACTTGAGTGCCCAGCATGTGCCTGCAGCAAACGGATCTGACTTCGTGGCTTCTATCTTCCTCTGACTTATGCAGAGTGACAGCAATCAGTTTAGATTGCTTTTAATTTCTGTAGCTTGGGCATACCTTATGTAGGCCGTCTTTCTAGGCACGAGCCAAAACCTGAAGCTACAAATCTGCCTCACAGATGTTCCCATCGCAAGACGAGACGAACGCATATTCCATCGCTTCCCAAAGACCTTTAGCACCCAACACAGCTGATGATCAAGCTGACCGGATTGAGCAGTCAACTGCAACTCTAGCCGTCCTCAAAGCCGATATTATCAATCTGCTGCCCCTCTATGATGATGCCGTTCTTTTCACTATATCCTGCGACTTTATTGCAGGCTTCAAGGGTCACAAGTGCAAGACGCTCCATCCCTATCAGCGAGCATTAGCAGCTGTCTATTTGGCCAATCCTGCAATCAGGCGATTGTACGACAAGTTTGCGGATATGCAGACGAAAATGAAATCCCCAACCATGAATCGAACGCCGGACTTTTCGGAATGTGAGAGAATGGGCAAGGTTGGAAGACTCAAGAAATGGTCAGCAGAAAGGGGCCCCGAACATAGCGGCGGTGACGACCCAGCTCCATGGTTTTTGGCAGGGACCGAAGTGCAGAATCCTGGTCTTTTCCCCATCCATCGCATCCAAAACCTGCGTCATAGGAGTCCGTCTGCCAACATCTTCGCAATGCAGAGTTGGCATGATGTGCTCGATAACGAAGTGATGGTGATTGCTAAGATGATCAACGGGGAATACACAGATATCATCATCAACGATCAACGCCACATTGCTGCGCTGGGACTAGACAAAGACCCTCACGATAGAATAGAACTCAAACAAGAAATATTCAGAATCGGCGAAACATTCACCATCACCGCATGCGACAAACGGAATCCAAAAGATATGAACGGTGATTTCATCGGTGAATTGAAGTCCGCTCGACATGCATATTTGCACTGGCTTGATGCACGGAACGATGTAGACCCGCATCCTGCACCCTATCGGACAGAGATTAATATTTTGGCGGAAAGGCTTGGGCGACAGCGCAAAGATGTGTGGGATGAAGTGAACGAGTACTGGGACTTGGAGCAGGGCGAAGACGGGCAGCGGTATTGGAGGAACAGGAAGCTATATCTGGGGGAAGACCCAAGATATTCTGGCCCCAAGAGCAAGTTACCGATGATGTGGGGATAGCTAGAGTGTCAGTTGTACTTGGGATTCGAATGCAGGAATGGTTGGTAGAAACAACAAGGCGTGTCATAGGAATTACAATATTGATTGAATTTGAAATCCCTAGAGCGATTGTGCACTATGAGTTAAACCTCACATGCAGTTATGCTAGAGCACTGAAAGTAGCAGAATTGTCAACTGATAATTTGCCTAGATTGACGCAAAGGGCGTTGCTCCGAGTTAGCGAATTCAGTAGCATACGTAAGAACTCTTTGAAGTAGAGCAGATACGAGTGGCCCGGAGAGATTGAGTAATGTATTTATGGCGATGAGTCGTTGTGATTACCGGTACAGGCCTAAGAGCGCTAATACGTACACATGGAACGAACATGCGGCAACAGAAGTTTTAGAAATTTGGAGGGAACCTAAACAAAATGCGAAAGGAGGGGACATAGGGGGGAAAGTACTCGAGTACACATTCCGGCGCTCGCCTACACAGGAAATTCATGGCCATGACGTCACGTGTCATTTGCTGCGTTCGACTTATGGTAGTGTTGGACACAGCAGATCCATCACATATGCTTCAACAATGGGCAAGGACAATGATAGCTACACATGCTACAAATATGGATCAACAGGAAAGACAGGTGAGCGGACAAAGGATTCAGCTCCGCAAACAGTTTCTAGGCGAGACACAAGCAGGTTTCAGACAAAGACGCGACCAGCCACTTACAATGGCCATGCCTGGTAGCCAGGGAAGCCCACAACCACCTCCACCCGAATTTACGAAGCAGACAAAGATGCTGTCAACCTTCTCTTTCCTTTGCCGCTGCTTGCGCTTGGGAATCTAATCTGACATGGTGCGTGCATCGCTCGGATGCAGTCCTTTGACCATCAAACGCCAGGTTCCATTGAAGTCAACTTTGAACCTGCCGTGCAGGTGATCCTCCCTTACAGCCGTGCTCTCTGGATGTTCCGCTTTAACAGTATGGTCTTCGTGAGCGGACTGTTCATCCCCGCTGCAAAGGCTCATGTCATAGTGTTCATCCTGTTCTCGCGTTGGGACATAGTCGTGGCTATTGGTTATGCTTGGCGAAAGCCCATCAGATTCCCTAGATGTCCGGCGCGATTCCGCTGATTCAATCTCCTTCGCTTCGTGCATATGTTTCGCAGTATCATCATCGACCATAGGAGTAATATTCCGCTTGTTCTCGTCCTTGCCTTCGCTTTGCTGAACCGCTCCTGCTCTGCCAGTTGTCATTAACCAATCTGGCCAGTCATCTGACTCTTTTGCCTCAAGTAATTCGTTGTAAATGGAAATCATCTCTTCATCCATGGTAGTATGAAAATTGTCGTTGAGAAATTCATTCAATCTATCACTTAGTTCATCAGTATTGCCGCTATAGTGCACGAGACCCCGCTTTCTGGCTAACAGACGTAACCAGATTCGAGAGTATCTTCCGTTCCTCTTTCTCGGGGGTCCGCCATTGCCCAAGCTGGGCGAAAGACCCGAAGGAACTGTTGACCCCTCCATGGACGATGGACGATGGACCTTTGTGCTTGTGGCTGTGGATATATCGAAAGTATTCGAAACAGATACGCGATCCAGTACTGAGATGGAATTGACCACAGAATTTACCCCGAAATTGGTAGGCTCGAATCGTAGGCAGTGGCTTGTACGGAAATGTAGACTGCTCTTGTTCTCAATTATTGCCTGTAATCCTACGATGATCACGTAGGAACTTGCACCGTGGAGGGAATGTATGATACACCATGTTCAATGTCTCATTACACTGATATAGTGAGCGGAAGCGTTTGTCGATGATTGCTGTCGATATTTCCAACTTTCAAAGCTTGATTGCATGTAAGCTGCAGCAATTGTGTGACAATTGTCAGCAGTCCATAGTCTATCTGTGCAGTTTTCTTATGACCCAGGTGTTTGCTACCATGCAAAGATTACACTTCCTCACAAGGCAATAAGGTATTGTTACTCAAAGTGTTTACTTGGCCAAGTCCGCCAATATGGTCTTTTTTTGCTCCTTCTGTCAATATACTTTTTTTGATATGATACGAAAAGATGTACCATATGGGCACAGCACTGTTTCCTCCGTAGGCTTTACGAACTTGTCAATAATTTATTACTTGTCAATCTTAGGCCTGAATCTCCTTTTGCATATCTTGGCACTTTCTCTTGTACATAGCTACGAGATTTTCATTTCCATAGAATACAGCTACAAAGTCTACTCGATCATTTTACACTAATATCTTCCTGACCTGGCTGGTCGTACGAGCCTCCCTCATCGACACTATTTGACATTGACAAAGTACGCCGCACAGCCCGAGGTGCCTCCATATAAGCCGAGTGGAATTTATCTTGGCTGTCTTCGCTCTCAGACGCCTCGTCTTCATCCAAGAACTCGGTTGGAATATGATCTTCAGTGAACACATGCCATTGCCGTTGTGGAGTGTTGATTAGCGGAACACTGAGAGTTCGCGTTTCCTGGAATGCACAGCCTTTTATATCTTTTTTGCGATCTGAGGGGTTGACCTTTCGGTCGCTTATAATTGTGGTTGGCGCATAGGGTACTCGCACGCCTATTGTTGGCCACTGTACTCCATCATCGTTCTTGTTCCGGCCATAATGATCGTCTAGTCTAGATCGGTAAATGTCTCTCTCGCTTTCTGGTATCGGTAGTAAACAATCCTTCCTGTTTATCATCTGCACTGGGGGCAAAATAGGATTCTCATCTTGGTCTCCAAGATATAAAGCGTCTTCTACATGAGCCCGCCAGCATCCTTCGGTTGTCGTATGTGGCCACCACTTACGACAGTGTGGATCAAGTTCGCATCGTTGACGTGCCGGCAAATTCAAGTCATCGTGAGACAAACCACGTGGAATTGAGCTCTCAATTGTATCCAGCCAGTGTGCAACGCGTGGTGGCGAAGTTGGTGGTGAAGAGTCTGGCACACGCTGACCCATATGACGCTCACGGCGGCCATCAGTAGCTTCGGCCCAGACAGTCGTTATGTACTTTTTGTGTTCTTCGCGGAGCTTTCTTCTCGGTTTGGCAAATTCGTGTGCCTCGTATTCATAGTCATAGCCAGCTGCTCTTTTCCTCTCCCGCAGCTGGCTTGCTTCAAGTCTGGCTTGCTGACATCGCTGCTCAGCCTCCTCAGATTTTCCCTTTCCTGATTTTCTCTTAGATTTTTTGGCAGGGGCTTTAGCTGCTTTTGATTTTCCCTGTTCTTCTTTTGCCTTCCCTCCCTGTCCATGTGCCGCTGCAGCTTTTTCCGCGAATGCTTCTCTTCTCCTGGCTCTCTCTTCGGGTGTCAACGGTTTCCCAGGCCCCTTTGGAATTTGTGGGTTTGATCGAGGTTCCGTATTCGCAGTTTCAATGTCGCTCATGTCACTATCAGAGCCACCACCTGAAGCTATTATGCGTGTTCCCAACTCATCTTCATCACTATATATGTCCAGGCCGTCGATGGTATAGCCTGGATTCACCAAACCCAGACAATCGTACGAAGTGTGCCAGTCAAACGACGATTCTTTTGCAGCAATGAAGAGGCCGTTTTGTCCTTGAATTTCTTGAAACCTCTCTTGGTGTCTCGGTGTATTTCTTCCCTGGAGGCGCATCTGGGAAGTCGATGGCCGTAAATGATAGTCTTCTATGCGCCAGGGACTCTGCCCATGATACACACGTGTATCATCTTCGCGTTTCTGCATTTCAACCCTTTGCGTCGCGCGTCTCTCACTGTGATTGCTATACAATGGCATACTCCCACCTGTGCAGGCACTGGAGGGGTTCTTCTCAACATCAACACGACGTTCCTCAATTTCCGCTAAGTCCAATACTAATGACTGCGGATCATCAACATGTTCGCGATCCAGAAGTGGACGTCCTAAACCAACGGGAAGGCGTCTATATCGGGGGGTCCATAGGTGCAACTCAGCGGGCCCTATTTGGGGTAAAGCAACAGTGGTAGTCTCAAGTTTCCTCCCGAACGCATCCAGGAGCCCTGCTTGGTACTCTTGACCACCAATGCGAAGTTTGTCGTAGTGGTCTAACGTTATCTTGACGAACTTATCGGCTACATTATATGGGTACAGCTTCGGTCCTTTGGACTTACGTCGGGCCACACCTTTTCTATCTCTTTGCCTTTTCACCCTCCAGGTTCGTTGGCGACGATGTGTTGAGTTTTGATAAAACAGGAAATCTTCGTAGTACTCGTAGGCTTTTCTCAGAGCCTCATGCTTCTCAAATCGATATTCTGTGGACGCCTTTCGGCCAGGCCCCGAAGTCTCAAAGGCTCGCAACTGGTCGGAATCGTAATGAAGTCTGTCACGTTGGCGGATGTACGGTACGAGTTCAATCGCGTCTTCCGTCTTTTCTCCTTCCAGTTCTATCAATGTCTGGATAAGCGAGTCCAAGTTCGTTTCGACGTAGGCGGTGGTGATTCTCGGGGCTTTGTAATTTATCGTGGCCAGCTCATGACCAGAACCGTTTGGTCCCGCCGAATCATCTCTGTCTCCATTGCTTTCTTCCCCTCCCGTTTCTTTCGCTTGATCTAAAGTATTCTCTTGATCTTCTACTTGATTATCTTCCTTTCTCTGTCCCTCCTTACCCCTCTCGTGTTCCATTTTGTGGAAGAATGACACTTGATGAGTCACGTATGATATATGAAGCTGTAGAACAGATGGCTCTCGATGTTGCGCAATCTCAAGTCTGACTATGAATCATAATCGTCTCCGAGTTCTTAAATCCTACAGGCGTGCTGTATTAGTCTTTGTTCACGGCGGCTAGTCACGATTCCGGTCAACATCACATCGGCTGTCTCGAAACAAAGAGTTCCATCAATTTTAAGCAAAGTATGCACTTCTTCAGCATAAATTCCTATAACAAAGAAAGAACTGCACTAGCGTTTACGGTACAGCGCGCATCGTCTTAATGCGGCCTTAACCTTGTTGAAACCATCAGCTCTATCCATTCCCGAGTGGTCCATTGTACCCGAGAATTCTCACACCGAATCTAGCATAGTACAAGGCTTCTTCAGTAGGTTTTTCCTTGGGTGCTTCCGCCCGCTTCGCGCGTGCTGTCATCCTAGCCATAAGAGCGTGACTTGAGAGCCAATCATCGGGAATTCGATTCTCTTCATCTTCATGAAATGGTGGTGAGTCAAAAATAATCGTGCCATTTGTGATTCCGCTATCCTGAAACCTTTTCACTTGTACGGCTACCGAACTGGGGTCTGGTCCCCAACCTATGATCCTCCCATCTGGGCCTACTGGCGCTTCAAGGGCCATGACATCTGGGCATCTAGATTCATGATCAGCTGGGAGATTCTCCGGGTCTTGTGCTGCAACATTGTGTGAGCCTGTACGAGTTTCCGAAGTCCCCACCGCGGTTGAATGAGGCTCGTTATCACTCTTGTCTGTTTCTCGGATATTCATGCCGTTTGCTAACGATGCTATCAGGTTGTTGATCAGCGGCTCCTCGGATAATAGCGAGTGTTTATTGCTCACAGTAGGTTGAGCTGGTATTGAAGTTGACGCCGCATTATCCCGCTTTTTTCGTGAGGAGAAGTTCTCTGGATCGTTCTTTTCCAACTTACGCTTCTTGCTTTCCTTCGGAGCTTCAAATTCCGAGGCAGACATCATATTTTCGTTTGAACTGGACTGGTTGCGCTTATCCCCAGTCTGCAATTTTTGAAAGGTAGAGGTCTGTTCTGGCAGCAGTTTCCAGAGACGATCTTCAAACGTGCGGTCAGGATATGCTTGGTTAAACAGTACGCGTTGTCTCTCTAATGTTTCAAGTTTCCCACTTGTTGGGTAGCCGTTGATATCTGCAGGCAAACTCCCGAACACTTCTCTATACCAGGAACGTACATAGAATCTGAAACCAAAAGTCTCAGTTCTTCCATACTGGTCCTTCTTTACCATTCTGGCAATACGTTGTCTTCGAAATACCTGAGACGAGGTTGATGACTTGTGACGATTGCACGAGTTCGTACGGCAGGTACACTTTGAAGGTTGAGCGCCGGAACTTGTGCGTTTTCGATGTGACTGCGATTTTGTTCAGGATTCTGAGCGATTTATTGGTTGTGGGGGGAGATGTGAGAGCAAAGGCCAGGAGGGCAGGCAACAGAAGTTAATTTCACTGGAATAGCAAGGCAATGTGGTTGTGGGATAGATCAATAACCTTTTCGTTGTCGTTGTTAATGAGGCAAACTGATAGATTGGTGCAGGTCTATTGAGTTGCATGTACAGATATATACAGCAATTTCAGGTATTGTGAAATTCACGCTGTGAACCAATATCATTGACACATCTTCCACAGTGCAAAGTCGCTTTCACCAAAGCCGCATCGGCTAGTTATTTATGTAAATTATGCTATGAAAGCACCGCAAGAGTTGAACATGTACAATGCTCCAAACACATTTCTGGATTCTGAATCTGCCCATCTGGCAGCTGGTATCACTGCTGTAGCAAATTCAGACTTATCCTCATCCTCACAGTGCGACTACAGCTCACTACCAAGTACCATTGAAGATCTCTGCATGGACTCGGTAGATACGTCGGACTGTTACTCCATCATTCCTCCAACCAATCAAGAAGAGTGCCATTAGACGCTGATCGACGGGTCAGTCGAGAAAATATTGCTCACGAATTCATTCAAGCCGCCCCAGGATTAAAAAGTTCAGCTCGAAGAAGTCTACTGTGCTGTTCAACTCTCTTTTCGTCCCCACTGAGGGGAATGACACGCGTCTTATGAACACTAGATCTATGTTGGGTGCTATCATTGTGCTTTCCAAATGTATCTAGCAACTTTCAGCGAAGTATGCGACAGAGCAAAAGAATCTAATTAGGTTTGTCCCTGAAATTCTCCATATTCGTGATAATCACATACTTCCGACTAAAGATTCGAGATTTGCGACAAATGCGATCCTCGAAACTGGCTCGTACAAACTCGAAGGTTCCAACCTGCTTATATTTTGCACGAAACCCTAGAGTTTAATCCTCAAAATAGCGCCATGGCCACTGCCAGTATACTAAACTCACCAGTTTCTATAACCTCAAACCTACCGGGTACCAAACCAACCTGGACATGAGACGTCTCAGTACTTGGATAAGCATTGTTTTGACTATCATGGCTATCTTAGATATATTGGAGCCATACTGAGTAGGAACTTAGGTATTATTACAGACGAAACATTATGTGAGGACACAAAAAATGCTCTCAATGATACCATGGTGGTGTTCGACGATTCGTTGCTGCAGAAAACAATTACCATTATCAAACAAGGTCAAGAATCAATCTTCAATACGACCAAATTCGTCAGAGATCTCTGCTATTAGGTTAACTGACTTGAATGGACTATCGTTGAAGTCGCTGAATAACGTTAATCCCCATGGAAGCCAAGCGTGCCGAAAGCTCAAAGACCATGTGTCTAAGCTGGTTGGAGATCAGACCAGTAAACAGGAACTGCTCGACGAGAACACCAAAAAGCTGATTCTGAAGGTTGTCGTGCCAGAGAAGCTGACCATCCGCGTGTGCAACACTGAGACATAAGACGAAAGAACTCTTCGTGTTTCGGAAAATGGAACATAATGACATTGACTCGAATAAATCTCAACATGTGTAACATATCTCCGCGTAGCTCTGGTAAACTGAAGCATCTCGTCAAGTCCATGCCAAAACAAGATGATGAGTGGCTTATCCTATTCCACGAGAAGATCAAGACTGTCTTCGAGGCTGGATCTTCTATCACGATCCCTAAGCCACCTGCCATTAATGAAATATTCAACAGCTACTTTCAGAATCGCATAACCAGAGACTTTGATGAAAATCAGCTAGCTCCTCATCCATTTCAAGAAGAGCATTCGATTCACGCGAAGCTCACTCACAGAATCGATATGGTGAAGTGTTTCGATTACCTGCATGTTTAGATTAAGACATGTTAGATGCTGAGGACAACAAATCACGGGAAGTTCATACACCAAATTCGACCCAGGTTGAATTGGCTTTATACTGGCAAAATGGCACACTGGTAGTCGACTCGCCAGTAGCCATTCCTAAGATCATAAAAGCTAGGCACCCTAAAGCGTAAGCGGACATTTTCAGATGAGGGCAGTCAGAATGCGAAGTGTTTCAATTGTATAGACGATCTGCTGAAGCGATCGGAGTGGAACGTGGTCATGTAGTGTTTTTATGTTACGTTCTCGGATACCAGTAATTGTACAAATGTGATAGTAAACGATTAGGTATTACCATAGCAATATAAGCTCAACTTGAAAGCCGATATTAATAAGGCTAAAATTGTTCGATATATTGCTTGATAAACAGGTTTATAGCGGTAGAGTAGGTGCTATGATATAGCAGCTATACTATCGCCGCCAGTGCATTAATGCTGTAACTGTTCTAGACTTTGTCACGCTTGTCATTGTCAATGCTCTATGACGTCACCACGTTACTGATTTGCTGCTTTGGATCATTAGCTGTCTCAAATCTACCGGTACGCGTTGAGCTTTACTAGACTTTGGACAAACGTTTAAATTTTCAACTATCAATCGCATTACCGGTACACGCTTCCTCTTAAGATGTTGATGTGCAATCAAAAATCACGTGAAATCTTCAGCAGTCCATACTAGGCAGACGTACTGCTTTGTTGTCCAAGTAAAGTCTGCTCAGGCCTTGTACTAATGGTATCAACGTATGGCAGTTATTTGACTTTGCTGACCACAGATTCAAGCCACTAGATTCTTGCAGCTATCCAAACGCGAACGCAGGGTTGTGTTGTTGCCTAAGATTGTAGACCGATGGCGTCTTACCAAGGCTGCAAGCCATAAGATTCTGCATCAAAGCTGAACTTGGCCGTCCAATCCAGATACGCCCCGCATTCATATACAAGGAGTCGACCAATCGATCCTATCTCAACAACGTACGTGTGCAACGCGAAGCTGACCGGTCTGGCGTCTGATCGAACTTTGGATGATGATAAAAGCTCACCCAGATCATCCCGAAATTTGTCCAGTCTCAACTGCTCCAACTGAGATCAGAAACCTTAATAAATACCCTTCCTTTGCTTTGATAATAATTGAGACCAGACTTCCTTTTGCGAGGATGAGCAATTTCAATTTTGTGCCGCTGCCGCCGCCGCCGCCGCCTCCACCTATTGTGCCATATCACCTGGCGCATCTGGCCCAGCCTTGCATGCCATACGCCACCCCACCACCCCAACCACCTCGAAGGCGGCGTCAGCGTACTCGAAATAATGCTGTATGTATGGTCCTAATTCTGATTTTTTTTGCAGGTGTATATGTTGATTCGATTTGAAGAATTGCGACAACGATTCCGATGGTAGTAATGAACTTGCTGAAGACGACAATTTGTATCAGGAAGATCTTGACGAAGCAGTCTTGAAGGGAGAACGCTGCGACAGTAAAGACATGTTTCGCGTGCCCAGAGCAGACGATCCAGAGAAGTTCCACTGGGTTGAGGAGCAGCCGCTGCAATATGGATCTACCACTGAACCTGGGAAAACCAAGAAAGCACGGGAGGCCTTTGCCGTCAATGTTTATCGCAAGTACAACGAGATTAAAGAAGAGTGGTACGCCAGTGAACTTCGATTGAACAGCACCTTGCTTCACAGTGTCCTAGAAACAGTATTGGAAGGTTACCCTGGGTTGACACAGCACGAACTCAAGTCATTCTCCCCGCCTTTCCTCCCGTTCCTTCACAGATGGGACGCTTTGCAGGGAGTCATTCATGATCTCCCTGCTCACTCGGAGAGACAGCGTCACACACTTCTCCTAAAACAAACCCTTCAGGAGCTGCTCAAAGAGGCATTCAGTACCCTAGCCAATACAGCAAATACAGGCCATATTGCGTTCGAAGACCTACAGCTATTGTACACTCCTGGAACGATTGTTGTTCGCCAAGAGCCCATTTCGGCAGCGATCCTTCGCAGTTGTCATCTAAGACGGGAACTAGAGCTTCCCGACTCTTATGAGCTTTTCCTAGATGTTGTGGACTGGAACGGGAGGAATTGTGGGCTTGTCACCCAAGTATGGAAGTTGGACGAATATTGTGGTTTGCGCGCCCTGACTGCGCTGGCTGTCGCTCCTCTCGAATCTTTATCCAATCAGCAGGCTATTCGTAAGACGCTGATTGAGCGCGGACGACTGTTCGAAAAATATCGGGGCCAGTCTTTTATGGCTTTTACGAATCATCATGAAGAGCGCGTGAACGAGCGCATGATCGTGGATGCAAAGACTTACTACAAGTTCGACAAGACATTTCCAAAATATGCTAGCTTAGCGGAGATTGGGCAACTTACTTGGGCTCAGTCCATGAATCGACTCTCTCCAGGAATTCCAATCCACCCTTCCATGATACCTCCCCCTCCAATGGCCCCTATGGTCCCAGACACTGACGTAGATGAGCAACACGAACCTATGACAGATGAACAATGTCTTCTTGCAGTTGGGACCATGCCAGGTTTTAACATAGAGAAGAAAAAATGGGAAGATCTTGACATCACGAAGCTTCACGACATACCATGGTCTGATCGTGCTTTCGAAAACCTGGTGCTTGATCAAGCAGAGAAAGATCTTATACTAGCTCTGGTTGACCGAGAACAGTATAAAGTTAGTAAACCCTTCGATGACTTCATTGCAGGAAAGGGAGAGGGTATGATCATGCTGCTATGTGGCCCACCAGGAGTCGGGAAAACACTGACAGCCGAAACCGTCTCCGAGCATTTGCGTCGGCCGCTGTACCGGCTGGGTGCAAGCGAACTGGGGAGTGATCCACGTGTCGTGGAAGCTGTTCTCCATAGAGCATTACAGCTCTGTGGTCAACTTGGCGCAGTCTTGCTTATCGACGAAGCGGATGTCTTCATGGGCGCAAGGTCCTCGTTCAATCTGCAACGCGATGAACTCGTTGCGACGTTCCTCCGCCTTCTAGAATACTACAACGGCATCATGATATTGACCACGAATCGCATGTCTAATATTGACCCAGCTTTTGAGTCGCGCATCGACATCACTTTGAATTATGACTCACTGTCAGAGACCAATCGCAAGCAAGTTTGGAACAACTTCTTAGCCACCATGGATCCAAAGGAAGTCGACATCGACGAGTATGAGCTTTCAAAGCTGGCCAAACGTGACTTCAACGGTCGTCAGATCAAGAGTGCCATCAAGACCGCGCGCATACTTGCTGCAAAGAAGAATGAACCATTGAACGCTCGTCATCTGGGGGTTGTTTTGAACCTCCGACGCAAAGCGATGAATACAATGGTGGAAAAAGGGGAGAACTTTGGGGGAAGCGGAAGGGTGTTAAGCTGATCAAGTACCTAGAATTGAAAGTACCGCCTATTCTGCAATCAATACCATTGGATGAGCGTGAATGAATCGTCCAGTCATTTGAATTTTGGGCAGTAGGGAGAACATGGAGATTGTTAAGAATAAATTGTGTTTTAAAATACGAAGATCAAGAAATGTGTGTTTGTGGGCAACAACTCATACACACATCAAGGTCAGACATGTGTAAATTAAAATGGGGAGGTCACCCTACTTGTCTAGCCCGGAATCAATCCAGATTTCGCGTCTCGCCGTCGGTATGAATCATCAAAGCCATCTGTTGTGTAAGTACACTAAATGACGGATAATAGTCTGTTGGACTGAAAAGTCGCTCACAGTTAATGTTCAATGTACCTTCTCGACAAAGTTCAAGCTAATCACGGGAATCATTTCACCTATCACGACTTCTTCACTCGACATAAGCACTGGCTGATCAAAAACCAGGCTGAAATCTACCGGGAGTGACTCTGTACAATTGGACAAGTTGTGGAAAAAAGATAATTATATATTCTAACACGTAATGGAGTTCGAGACTATTGGATTTTAAGCATCGAAACTTGATCTCCTCGACAAACCAAAACCAGGTCGTGTATTAGCGGTGAGCGCCTAACGACATATTCCAATGACAATGCACGGAATGTACAAATTAAACCAATGGTGTCTCTGTTAGCCAAGTCGCCCTTGTTGTATATCTACCCAAATCGGCTCGGGAAAACAGGAACCTAAACCGCAACCATGACCAAAACAACGCAAAATTAGGCCGCAACTCAAATAACATCCCAGAAACCTCTTCCTGCGGTCTGAAATTGACCATTTGTCTGGCCATGACCGTTCATCTGACCCTTCACACTGTCATAATTGTCCATCGCATACTTGACACCAGCTAGGAAAATAGACCTAGGTGACGCACCCACATCGTAAGCACCGGCTGGAATATCAAGCTGATGATACGATGGGACTGAAGCAGCAGAGGTGACAGAGGTGACGGTCGAAACAGGTGCGGGATTGGTGAGAGATGTGAACGATGGAGCTGCGACGGGATATTTCGGAGGAGTGGATGTCAGAGCAGCATCTCGAGTCGTGGGAGGAGTGTATGTCGGAATCGAAGGGTGAATCTTGGGAGTTGTGTATGTCGCGATAGCAGCTTCAACATTGCGTCGAGTGGCTGGCAGTCCAGTGGCGGCAGGGCGCTCATGACCGATCGCAGGACTGGCCTCAAACAATTGTAGAAGAGCAATTGCAGCCTCGTGATCACTAAAGCTAGATATAAAAGGACCAGACGCCTTAGGCGAAACAAGGCGAGGTTTAGCGGCAGTTGTGCGCGGGAGTTTGGGGGCTGTCTTCTTGACACCCGCGTATGCGTTTCTTCCGCGGACAATGCATTTGTTGACCGCAGAGACCTTGGCTGGTGCCGCAGCTGGTGGCATAGGCTGGTCGACAGGAGATTCTCGCTTTATACCGTTCTCGGTCCCACTGTCGGTGTGGGGTGAATCAGTCTCTATGCTCTCGATGACATCTTCCATGTCATCAGGGCCATCTTCACCAGAGTTGGACTCGGCGATCATGCCATCGCCCTCATGCATCAGGCCTTGTTGGTCGTAATGCTCATGGATTTTGGCAACTTTGTCGTTGACCCATTGCTTGAGGCGGCCAGGGGAGAGCACTTTGTGGGCTTTGCCCTCGACGCCGCGTCGTGCCGAGTGCTGGCCCGCTGCGATGGCGCGTTGGACCTCATGGAGGCGTGCGGCGTCGTCGGGGTGAGGGAATCGTGCTGGCAGATCGACCCAGAGTGAGTCCAATCGTACGAGAAGACGTTCATAGGTGAGCTTTGCCATTGTAAAAGTAACTTTTGTGAGATGAAAGTACGGGAAAGGCCTTTGGTGTTTGCTTTGGAGTCGGTTCTCGAGAAGATAGTGTGAAGTTTTAAGGATGGAGACTTGAGATGCAAGAGTCAGCTTTTTTATATGGGAAGTGGTGACTTCAAGTCAGGCAATATGTGCTATTGTTGCAATTAAATCTTATTCAAAGGCTGGGTAAAAAGGCATTGTCACGCGTCGACAATAGGACGCGTAGTGGGTGAGGAGGGTTTGTTGGGTGTGCAAACGCAGCGACCAGGGTTATCCGTCTTCACCTAGAATTCGAAGCCTGCTCAATTCGGACTGAATACAACGGCAGTGACTTCAACTAGTGTATCATTAGTCGTTGAATTACATCCACCCAACCAATAGGGGTTTCTATCTGTAACGTGACTCGAGAGCTTCAAACCAGCGGCGAGTGGCAATGGCCCATAGTATCCGAGGGCTTTTCCTCTTGCATGACAACCTGCAAGATTATTTCGATTCCAGGTCGTCTATAATGTCCCATAAGGCTACTTTCATAACATTCTGGATGCAAATACGGCGAATCTTTTCAGTCTCTCTGGGAACTTGCCAAACCAGCATTTGCTGAATGTTTTTCCATATGCTCAAGTATTGCCTCGCTGCCTCGATCACTTCACCCGAATCTTCTCCATATCCAGCGATCACTAGGTCTCTCAAGTCCTTTTCCTCATCCATCAGAAGTTTCAAATGTGCCTGAGTATGCAAATCGAGTCTGATGGGTCCTTCTGAAAGAGTAACGGAAGTAGCATCCTTGTGCATGCCAGCACGGTCGTAGTTCAGCCCAAGGTCTCGCTCCATTTTGAAGTATGTGCACGCCATCATCAGCTTTTGATATATCATGTTGAGATATTTCGTTTGCTCGTTTGAGGTCAATGGCTTGAAGTCGGGTGGGAGAGGTGGTTCATGTATGTTGTGCCGAAGAGTCGGAAGTCTGAGGCGTTCGAATCCGCAGTCCGCGAGGTTCTTGACAGTAGCTTCAGCTGGTTCCATTTCTGGAGGGCCGAAGTAGGTACGTCGTTGCATACTGATATCGCGCGATAGGGAACTTGAGACTGTGTACAAACTTCGGGTGAGCAGAGTAGATAAGTGTCCAATCCAAAATGGCCCGCGGTACGATTGATGACGCGAGGAGTAAAGCACGACGTGATCGATAATCGTATATCACTGCCGCTGCCGCGGAAGTACACTCATTTCATTGCTCTAAGAGTCACTGTGACAGTCACCAGGCTTGTGAGATTAGGCGAGAGGCACACCTCCGCCGCATATGAACATGGTTCACATTAGAGATGTCAACCCGATGTTTGTCCCTGCACAATATGGGTGACGAGCACTTATTGATGCACACTCATGACGGCAGTAATAAGTTCACTTCAGATTAGAGATTTTCTTTGCAGATATTACAATCCTTGCAAATTCTATGTGTTGAAGAATTACTGAAGCTGACATACTTTTGAGGATGAACGGATACTACATGAAGGGTCGCATGTGCAATAACCGACGGATTGCGACAACAAGGTCATCTCGTGAGCAGACAAATCACAGATTTGAATAATAAGATCGAGTGTTTGATTAGTCGTCATTCACTTCTTATGATTTACCAAGTCCAGTTGACACTGATTTTCTGCATTGAAGTTCTCATTCCCTCATGATATTTCCGTTGCCGCCTCGATCAACGAATTATAATGCCATAAAAACGTTATTCACATTCTATTTCGCCCTCAGCAGTAGACAGAAAATGACAGAGCCAAGTAATTCACGAAATTTCTACAACACGTTGATTGCGCAGCATGCCAAGACGCGCCTGTAACCCCTTGGCGGGTGAATTGCACGTGCCATCTGATCTTTTTGGTCTTCTAAATGCTATATTATCATCAAAAAGACAATTTGCTGTGATCAATTGCAAATTGCATTAAGATGTTCTGGGCAGATCTGTCTTGAAAAGCTGCGCTTGGAGGGCGTTGATCTACAGACCACTGCTTCGACTCCAGTGAAGCTTGATGCCTCCGTGGATGTATTGTCCAACAATGAGGCAGACCCCAGCATTATCCTGCCCAGAACCAAGTTTCTCGATGATCGTAGACAATTCATATTCAGTCTCTTCACTGAACGAGCCAACTTCACCCTTGTTCTTCCAGCAAAGTTCCGCAGAACTGGGTACCGAGACATGCAGGAGCTTGTAGTCCCTCAGACGAACAAAGAGTCGCTTTAATGCGACGGTTGGTCCTCTGAATTTTATTGGGTTCTTTGGTCCCTGGCAAATGGCCTCAATTGGGTTCCCCTCGTTTTCGGTTTCTCGGATGATGAGTCTGCCATCATCACGTTGTTCACTGGAGAGATACATGATCTCATCCAGAATAAAAGCCAGTCCCCGAGAGCTTATGCATGTTGCCGTGCGGGTATTTGAGTGCTGAGGAAGAACAGGTGGTTTGAAGACGACCTCCGAGAAAGACGGTGCGTAATCACCTTCCCCAATCGCAGAGACACGTGCCATACGGGACTCTTCGAAGATATCCTGAAGCGCGTAAACTCTTTGCATATTGAGTGCAATTTGTTGCTCTTCGTTCGTAACCTCCTTAGGCTCCTTTGTACGCGGTTTCTTGCGCGGTGATCCACAGTCACAGCTCCATGCGGAGCCCGTCTTGTTATTAGCGAATGAACAGACAGTGCAGTGGCTTTTCAGGGGATCTTCGTTATCAGATTGGGTACGTCCTTCCCAATCGTCATATTCGTCTTCTTCGTCCGTGTGCTTGCGCTTGTATCCAATGACAGGTGTGACCATGACGACCAGTGGTTCTAAGGAATCTTCCATAATCTTGTCCTCAACCAACGTCTGATCATCCCAAGCCATGTCATCTTCGTCTTTGCAATATTCAAGCGTGGTCTTGTCATGGTGGATGGCTGTTTGCTCAGTCCCAGCCCTCGCCGCGGTTTGCCCTTCCATGTGGTAAAAACCGGAAACTGCGGCTATCAGTCTCTCATCCCTCCTGGCATCGACGCGCTCAAGAATGACAGTGATGATTTCGTCCGCAGATATTCCCTTCAGAAGCAAATGTGAGATATCGTACCCATCGTCTTCAAGGAGCAGCAGTCGTTGTTCATTGCTGACCTTTTGCTTCCAGGTGGAACGACCCATTTCCTTTTCCAGACTCCAACCTTTTTTCTCGATGACCTTTCTAGCCTTGATCCTCCAGTCAGCTGGTCTTGGGGCAAGCTCAGGGGCATGAAAAGGTGGTGAAATGGAGGTCTGACCTAGAGATAGAGGCTTGGCCGGTCTAGACGAACAAGATTCTTCAAAATCAGCGACAAAAGTATCATCCGCCGAGGCTCCCACCATAGTCTCAAGCATTTCCTTGTGCTCTTTGCTCCCTAGTCGGATAGGTGGCACCGTGTAGCCCGCTCGCCTCATACGATGTTTATATATATCCCTTTCAGCTTCTGGGACACGGTCTGGCGTGAGCAAAGCCATGAAAGCGGCCTCTTCGATACTTTCATGTGAGAGCTCTGGGTTCTTGTTCGCATTCGACCGAGATTTTTGGATGCGAGCGGATCGAACAATGTGCAGACACTGCTTTGCTGGCCGGCGGGTTCGGCTGCCCTTGTTAGGCATTCGGGCTATTGGACGATTTTCAATAATGGAATCGTTGAAGAAGAATGGGGAGTAGTCCTCGGAGATGGTCGGAGTTGGGAAGGTGGGTTTCATCATTTCTGAATGGATGTACTAAGTAAACTCTTTGGGCTGTGATGTCAAGAACAGTTTTGGTCGAGCCAGAGGGTCATGGGTTGAACGAGAAGTTGATGGACACTGCAGGAGAAGAATGACGAGGAATTAGGTAGACGTACTAGCAATATGGGTTCGAAGTGAAAGTTTTAATATAATTCTAGGTCTGGGCGGAAGCAATGTAGCGCATCGCCCATGTGCTATAGGTGAATAATCTAAGCTCATACTGTACTGCAATTAGGTGATCTGTGCGTGAACAAGACACAAACTGCCTTGACAGTACAGAGAACATTACAAAGTAAGCCACGGAGTTCTATGCGCTTGTTATCTCGTGCAGGTTCTTGAAATCTCCTGAGTTTGTTCGCAATGATATATTCACATGCGCGCTGCCTGTGGGTGAAATGCGAGGCCATATGGGTTGACAATGTGGGCGGACACGTCTACAAGGAACGATAATTCACTCCAGGCTATTCGAGAGCATTCACGGCACAGGAAGCAATTCAAGGGAATTCGTGCTTGCTCAAGGCTCTGATATATGTGAGAAACCACAAGTCGAACTGAGAATTCTTGTAGCTGTACAGGACAGAGCATTGTTATCGCACAATTCTAAATTATTTCCACACGGAGATAAACGCAATGTCTCACAAGCTGTTATTAATTCGACAAATCTGTTCACCATTGCAGCCGCGACTTGGCCAAGAGAAGATATCTAAAGACGCTCATCTATCAGATATGGTGTCCAAGCTTTTACGCTTCGAATATACCGTACTAATGATTCGATGTTTGCCTTCGTCTCTGAACGTATGAAGTGTCATTCACATCAGGCTACAACTCAGGTGCTTTGAAATCATGACATTCATATACGATGAGGGTCGCCTTCTCAATTATGTATTGACAGCAATATCTTTACTGACTGATATGCCATAGCAGAGGTTCAAGCTGACTACATGCATGAACATCGACGAATTTTGTTTTCAAGGATTCAGCAGAGTGGCAAAGTATGAAGCATGGGTATAGCAGTGAATTGTATATTCTATGCTCATTTTCTATTAGATTGAACGTTGATTCACCGATGAAGAGCCAAACGACTGCAGATACCACAACACTCCTCACTTCTGGCCCCCTTGTTGCGCCTTCCATTCTTGTCGCATGTTTTGGCCATTGACGTCATCTGTGTATGAGACGTATCTTATGGCAACAAAACAAAACATATTGCTTCCCACGAAATCGGCAATCGAGTACTGTGGTCTTCAGCCCATGAGATCATCACAGGATCTTCAGATACTGCGCCGTGTCTGCGCCTCCTCACCGTTTGCTAAGGTGACACACCATGTTTGCTGCCTAGAACTCACCGTGCATGCTAGCGGCAATCTCACAACATTAATAGCGACAAGCCAGTTCGATTTGATTGCACATGCGACACCTGCTCACTTGTTACAACCACCGTGAACCACGTCTCTATCCGCGCAGCTGCCATGGTTGGGCAAGTCAGCAACCGATTCGCGCTCTTCGTCCAGAATGACGATAAAAGACCAGTGAAGAAGTTCCCCATCGATGCATCTCGCAATCATTTCTTGAATCAGGTCGCTGATGATTCGGTTCCCTGGGAGGAAGTCAAGAAACGCGCTGCGCCTGTAGAACGCCACGCTCCGCAACCTGGACCGAAGACAGTGATGATCAAGGACCAGAATAGGGCGATACTGAACCGGGCTTTGATTCCCCAAACTCGGGATCGCACCGTATCATTTTCAACAGCTGACGGCAGCGACAAGCTTCACGATCTGCACGAGAATTGGTGCGGTGTATGCTCGATCAAGTTTCCCACCAAATCAGCACTTATCACCCATACCAAGCAGTTACCGCATCACCAGCACTACTGTAATCTCTGCAGGCGAGTCTTCAAAGACCGCAACGGTCTCAAAAACCACGTTGACAACTCTTGGGGTCATGAGATCTCCTGCAATCTGTGCTTGAGCGCCTTCAAGAATAGCTGGGGGCTTAAGAACCATTTTGAGAACAACTACAATGTCGGCCACGAGTTTGCGTGTCTGACTTGTCTTCTTGGATTTCGAAGCAACGTTGAGCTTGAGCGGCATCTCCAGTCTTCGATGAAGCACACGTGGTGCCAGACATGCTCGCGCCGCTTTCGCACCCAAGACGAGCGCGACGAGCATTGGCAGACGACAAATAGTAAGTGTGAAAGCTACCCGAGATTCCACGGGCATCATTTTCCTTACCATTGCATATACTGACTTGAATTCGAGGACACAAACACTGCCTGGAACCCGGCTGCGACTTTGACTGTCCCAACGAGGCAGGACTCGCCCAACATCACATGACCGACCACTTTCAGTGCGTTGGATGCAAGCAAATCTTACCCAGCATGACCAAACTCAATCTGCACTATGAGTCTTGCTCAAACGCACTCTCATGTCCACAATGCGGAACCATGTGCGCAGGAAAACTTCGCCTCGCCCACCATCTCACACAGTGCTTTGTATGCAAAGAATGCGGATTCCACACCTTCCACGAGGGAAACTACAAAATCGTACGTATCAAATCCAAATTCCAACTTAGACCCTTCCCATTAACTCCTTCCCCCAGCACATGACCAAACACTCTTCCAACAACATCCCCTGCTGGGGCTGCAACGCCCCCATGCGCACCTACTCGAGCCTCATCAACCACCTCGAATCCAGCCGCTGCCCCCAGCTCAACCAACCCACCCGTCTCCTGCAAGTCCTCGGAAAATGGTGGTACTCGCCCCTCTACATGGACGTCGATTTGCACGTGCAACTACGCACCGGCCGCGTCAATCTCGACGAGATGCACGAGTGGATGAAGAATGGCGCGCTGCACCCTTTTATCTGCAGGGCGGATGGGTGCATGAAGAGCTTTGCGCATTTGAGTTCGCTGGTGCTGCATTGTGAGAGTCAGGCGTGTGGGTGGGATATCGCGAGGTTGAATGTTTTGGGGCTGGAGGCGGAGGTCAAGATGGCGTGTTTCAGGGGGGATAGCGTGGCGGGTTGAGTTTCTTACTCCAGTGCATGCGACGTTACGGCTTTGTGGGTGGGGGGTGTGGGTGGGTAGGTGGGTTTGCCGGATGGCCGTTTGTGCAATTTGAGTGCCTAAGTAGGCCTTTTACGAGATGTTTACATCGACTCGAGACGCATTGTATGACTCGACTCGGCAAGTGTATCTTGAATAACTCCTGCGATCATGTTCATAATGGGAATACACAGAAACATAGATAAATCAGTGCCAGAATCTTGTATTACGCTAATCTACAAGATTCCAAGTCTAGACCTTGCAAATACCACAGCTCCCTGCTATTCGAGTCTTCCAAAACAAAACCTTCGAACCTGGACATCTGAGTCCTCAAAGTCGAATTGTTCCATTGCATTCCTCGATTCTGGACCGGGTAAAATTGCAGTTCTTCACTTTCACAGGTTGCAAAAGCTCATCAGCGGAGAGAATAGTAGTGTTATATTATAAATGAGCAGAATGATTTTTTTTATGTTATGTAATATAATGCCCTACTTAATCTCCCGTCATCTAGTGCTCCCTACCGCTTACCTTTCTACACCATCTCCGCTGGCAAATCCACCTTGGCCACATGCCCCTACCTCCTCCGCCGCGCCGTCAACCGTGCATACTCGCCTTCCGCCCACATTGTGAAGTGCAACATTAAAGCGTGGATAACCACAGTATTGTCTGTTTCGTGGTTTGCTGATGGGGAAGAGGGTGTTAATTGAGCGTGTGAGTAGTTCAAACCAAGCGGTGGAACATCGGGAGAGGGAGGACGGGATGCGATGTTCTGGGTTGACTGGACTGCTGAGGCTGGTTTGCGTATGCCCTGAATAGGGACCTCATTCTGTATTCCCACATCCTCCTTGGGGTCAATGGCATCACCATCTCCACCATCACCATCGCCATCACCCACCACCCCGTCCTCCTCCAAAACCCCCTCCAACTCCAAACACACAGCATAAACCCACCTTGCCCCCTCCAACACCTTGACATGTTCCCAATTCTCCACCCGCGGCACCTCGTCCTCCAGCTCTTGCACGATATGGTGAAGACTGCGTGCGGGACTGGCCGTGCTATCGTCCGTGATGTTTTCGAGGGCGATGGTGACGCCGCGGTGGAAGTGGGGGAGGGCTTTGGTTGGGATGGTGGGGTAGGAGGGGATTGGGGGAAGGGAGGGGAGGGAGGGGATGGAAGGGGTATGGGGGGGAGTGGGTTGGAGAGATTCGGAAGGATGGGAGGGAAAGTTGTTTTGTCTCGTTCTCGCTGGCTGAGTCCTCTGACTTGGGATATGACTGGTGGACCTAGATAAGGTGATTTCAGATGCGGATTCCGCATTTGAAGGAAGAGTAGCACCGCTTTTGTTCCCTCTCCCGGTCTTGCTGACAGTCCCGGTTTGTCCTTTCCCGCGCCCATTCTCATTCCCCGCCTTTCCTTTCTTCTTCCTCTTACTCTTCCCCTTTCCCTCATCCTCCCCCACTGTCGTCGTCAAACCCCGTTTCTGCCCCCTCCCTTGTGCAGTACTCGGCCACGAAGACACTGCATGATTTAGCTCCGACGAATTGAGCGTAGAAAAGGACAATTTAACGATAAGAGAGGGGACTCCGGTGGTGGATTGGAAGGTGGTTGAGAACCTTTCGGGTTTTTTCGGTACGCTGGGGGTGGCGGGTGGCTGGTGAGCGTCTTGGGATTGTGGGTGGTGGTGATGGTATGGGCACATTTGCTGCTGGGTGCGTTGGCGCATGGACTAGACGGGTACTTGTTAGTTTGGTTGAGGAGGGTGAGAAGAGAACGTACACGAGTATGGGTCGGTGCCGTTAGTGGTGAAGTAGCTACCGTGGGTTGATTTTCTGAGGGAAGTAGAGAAGGTGTCGTGGCGGTGATTAACTCGTTGGTTGCTGCTAGCGATGCGGTTTGCTGTAGAAGCAATGGCTTGTTCGTGTCCACGAGATCTATCTGTCTTTGCTTGCGCTGCTCTGCAGCCTTAACACGCATAGCGAGTGCTGCCCTTTGCCGCTTTTGTTTCACTGCAGCTCTGTTGTCCAGTGTCGCTCGTGCTTTTGTAAGCCTCGTCTCCAGTGACATTCGCGCGCTCGACGGCTCGGACTGATGCGCTTTTACATCCAGCATGTCGTCATCTTCATCTTTGTCCTCTTGTAGCAGTTCACTTGCTTTCTCACTGCTTCCCTGTTCCTCCTGCATGATGAAATCTTCGTTTGCGGTGAGCCGCTCTTGGTTCTCTTGGTAGAATGCACCCAGCGTCCTGATGACTCTACGTAGCAATGGAGCAACCGACTGGCCCTCGTTCAACGCCGTAGGTACATGCACCCTCAGCACATCATCCAACATCAAAAGACCTCGAGTGCGAATACTTGGCAGAATCGAGGTGTCTGCACAGAAGTTTGCGCGCCGTCGTTGCAACTCGATGACAGCGGCGGGGTTGGTGAGCGTGAGATTTTTAATCGCAGTGTTCATGGTGACAGTATCTTGTTTGGATCTGGGGAGATGGTGATTGATATCCATTGTGATTTGGTTAAGTTGGAGTAGGAATGATGTTGGGTTTGCAACTGCTCATATAGTGCGGAGGTGCGAGGTCGCGACTCTATGCAGTGAAATAGCATGCAATAAGTAGAGTCATGCGCGTCTGAACATGACAACAGATGGATCTGGTTTTAGACAATTCTCTAGATCCTTTCACTGATTGACGCCAAATGCATAGCGGTCAATGGAGAACAGCGCGTTTGTGTCTCTGAGCTCGAGTTGCATGGTCCTGCTCTTTCCCTGGGCAGCTTCGAGACACTGCCGTCACCACCGAGAAGCAAAGGCGGTGAAGAGATGATGAAGTAGCCACATGATAAATTTTCATCATCTAATCCTCCATTCTTAACGGAGAGTATTTGTCTGAATTGCAAAACGAACTGCTAGCAATGGACCGTCACTGTGCGTCTCCTACCAACTTAGCAACCCACACCCAGTAAGTCTACCCTCACGAACACATCTACAATGCTCCCATTTCATCAAGAAATCTCTTCAAAATTCAAGTTCATTTCAAACTCAAACCTTTCAAATTACACCGCACACCATCCACTCATCACATCCAACCTCAACCCCCCAAATACAGCCTATGCCCAAGCCCCAAGCTCCCCACACAGCCCAAGCTTAACCCTCAGACTTGAACTCGGCTAGATTGTTAGATGCTGCATTCATTGCCTACCCTCACACCCCGCCCCTCCCCTTTCCCCCCAGCTTTCCCCGGGAAACCGACATGGGGGAGAAGTGGAATGAAATGAATGAAGAAGTAAGGAGGTAAGTACACAAGCAACTATGAGTCAGCATTTTTATGCGAGCTAAGTATATCAGATAAAATACACGGTATATACAGAAAACAACCACTTGTTGGTTCTGTCTTAGGTGTATTTGTCATCTGGCCTAACTTGTCACCTGGCGTTCTATCAAGTCCTATTCGGTTCTGCCACATCGTTTCCCATCATGTCTTTTCCCGACATGTCGTTCCTTGTCCTTTTGTCTTGTCCTGTACTGTGTACTTCGACTTTTCCACCGTCCACGCACCATGACATCGCCCCCATCTTTCTCCGCATGCAGGACGGGACTCAAGCAGCTCGTTTCGTGATGGGGTAGGTAGCAAGAAGACACAAGAGACGAGGCAAGACCGCCACAGCTTGGCCATCATATACAGCTTGAGTATTCGCTGATTTGCGATTCCAAATCCCCAATCCCCAATCCACAAGCAGAAACTTCTATCCCTCTCCATCTAGTCCTCCAACAACGTCACACGCAGCAACAACACCCATTGCAATCCCCTTGGAACATACCTATTTAACTCGACGTCAAAACCCATGCAGCCCCACACGCTAGCGCAGTCTAGAAACAGTGTCTTGGGGATATAATTATTCCGTCCAGGGATCCGCGTGGAAAATTGGGATTCGATCAGTCGGTACATGGAGGTGCGGGACTGCGCGGGCCAGGGGCTGGACAATCTTTCGGCACATCGCACTTGGCACACGGTAGGTGTGGGATATAGGACAGGGGTGCTGTCGTGTGCGATTATAGATTACACGCCGCAGAGGCAGCTTAAAATGACCATGCCTGGATCTATCGCGCTGTTGCTGTGGCTACGATGAGCATCGTCATGCATATATGGCTAAAGCTGTGTCTTTGCGCCTCTCAATCTGTTGCATATCCCAATGGCGATATCGTGCTTGTTTCAAAAGGTTTGCAGCTGCGGTGGTCGAAAGAGTTGGTGACTTTGCTGAATCATCTCTTCAATGTTCTTCATCTCGTTCATCTCAAAGTCGTGCATCAATTGCATCTGCTGCTCCTGATTGAGCCCATTGCCTCGGGCATCTTGACTCCATCCGGGGTTGAGGTAGTCTGCAACTTCGTAGCCTTGGTTCGCCGCATAGGCTTCATTGTAAAAGGGATAGGCAAGTGGCATCGTCGGTACGCAGTACCGCTCTTGCGGTGGCATGGAAAAGGTTGGGTTCCAGTGGGGAAGCTCTGCAAATGTGGTTGGAAGAGACGACATTTGAGTGGTGGGAGCATAGCCGTACATGGGTATGCGGGCGTCCATGGAGGTCTTTGGCCTTACGTCCGTGTACGAGATCTGAGGAGGCGGCTGCGAGGGCATTTGTTGCGATGCGTTTTGCGAGTTGGAAGAATGGGAAAATGAGCTCGGTCCATTAGCTTGGCTGCTATTGTAATTGAACAACGGCTGGTTCTGACTTTGATCAGCGAGGTAGCCAAAGGGTACAGGAGCTTGTTCCGAAGGCGTGGCAACCGATGCTGTAGATGCCGTAGCTGGGCTTGTTGTACGAGACCGGTTGATGCCATCTACAATACTTCCAGAGATGACTGAAGCCGTGTCCGAGGGCGATCCGGCAGTAATGGGCACGTCACCGTCCTTTTCAAAGATCTTCATGCAGGCACCTGTCAGATTGTAGTAGAGCTCCATGGCAGACGCCACACCGGGCCAACGCTCCGAAGCCAGCCTGATCGAGTCCATGGCAACGCTCAAATGACCCTCGACCTCTTCGCGACTATGACATCTGCGTACCTCGGAATACGACAAAGTCCACAGCATTGTGTTGATGCACATGAAGATGGACTGGACAAAGATCCACGTCATGTCCACGCTCCTCGTCTCAATCTGCTTCATGCTCATGGAGATGTTGTATTTGCATGCATCAAAGCAGCGAATAGCAGCCTGAACGGAGGGCCGAGGTACTTGGGGAGACGGGCGGTACAGGAACACAATCATGGTGTTGAACCGGCCAATGAACCTGCTTCCAGTCAGCTAATAGAGCCGGCCATGGACGGATAGTATTCACATACCAGATTTTGTTCAAGCCGGAACCACCATCCATCTCCGGACTGGTGTCGCGCCAGGCCTCCATCTTTGCCAGCATCTCGCTGAACCAGGGGTGCTGGTCGTCTCTGGGCTCTGCCTTCTTCCGCTGGTACAGCATTTTGCGGATTTCCAGTTGGAGCAGGCGCATCTTGTAAAAGTGGATACCAATCCATTTCTTCAGCGAGGCTTGCGGTGCAGGTCTGATGCCCTCCCTCGTGATGTACACGTCGTCTACCAGCTCACCAAAATTGACATCAATGTGCTCCCGTCGGGTAGCAAAGTGGGCCGGCCTGCCAAGGCTGTGCGACAGGCCGTAATCCATGGTGAGTATGCTCCAGAATAATCGCCTGCGCATGTCGACCTCGAGCGGATCTGCAGGACAGCCGCCCGGTCCCAGGGTAATGGTCTTCTCCTCGTGCAAGCCCAATGCCTGACAGAGGCGCACGGCCAGACCCATGATGTAGTAGACAGCTGTCCTCGTCGGCGTGAGAAGCGAGTAGCCTGCCACCAGGGCAAAGCACTGCAGCGTCTTGAGGTTCATTGGCTTGATCGAGGCCTCGAAGTAGGTCAGGGCGGCGAGGTAGTAGCTGTCGGCCAAGCCAGCGTATTGTGGGTCCATTTTCTGCAGACTGATGGCAATGACCATGCGCAGGCAATAGTTTTGGTAGGGATCGGTCGAGCCATTGAAGACATGCTCGACAACGGTCGTGAAGGTGGGCTCGTGGAAGATGGGGTACATGGGATGCACTGTGAGGGGCCGGTTAGCATTGTGCTATCAGAGGGCAGCCAACGTTGGCGCCGTCATAGGCAATGAGATGGGCGTAGACTTGCCCTTGCAGTAAAAGAGCTCGACGAGCAGATTGGTCAGGTCGCGATTGGGCAGCTCAGTGGCCGCAACGTGGCTCACGAGCGGATAGATCTTGGACGTGGGTCGCGCATCTTCGAGCGCAAACTGGGCCTTGATCGACTTCTGGCGCGAGTGGGGGACAATCTCGGAGATGCTCTTGGACTCGGTGAACTGCTTGGCCAACTGCATGACCAGGCGCGTGATGGTGATGCCACTCGAGGGCCCTAGGAATTTGGACTCGTCTGAATCCTGGACGCGCACGGCCGAGGCGCCACGCACGACATCCTCTGCGTCTGGCTCGACATCGTCTCTGTCCAGCTCGGCCAGCTGCTGCTCGAGGCCGCGCACTTTTTGCTGCAGATGGACCACGTAGTTGCGGGCTATCTTCCTGCCCTTGGTAGGATCGTAGTATTCGCAGTGCGAGTTGGTACGCTCACAGGGCCCGCAGCGGGGAAGGCCTGGGTCGCATCGCGTCTTGCGCTGGAGGCAGACATGTCAGAAGAGGAAGAGGAGGAACATGTCCCACATGACGGCTAACGAGAGTGAATGGACGTGTGTATGTATCATCTATGTCTATGTACCGGCATGTATGTATGTAGTTGTAGTGTCGTCGTCATGGTCATGTGTGGACTCACCGTTCGGCAGCGACAACACGCTGTCAGTGTGTGGGCAATCCGAGTTGGGCCGTTGACGGTCCCTCCTTCCCCGGATGGCTGTGGCGCGCCTTCTGTCTGCGTCGAGATCGCCGTTGCGACTTCCATCGCTGGGTTGGGTGGAGGAAGTCTTGGGGAAGGCACGCAGGGCACGCAGGGCAGGCACGCAGGGCTTTGTTGAGCTTGGATATTGTGGGGGGGGGGGGGAATTGATCGACGCGCACGTCCATTGGCCGAGGCCGTGATTGCTGGCTTCGTCCTCGGTTGCGGCGATTGGCCAACGGGAAATGCTAATTGTCCTCGCCACAATAGACTAATCGTCCTCGCTCTTCCTAATAGGGAAGCGCCAAGGGGTAATCGCCTAAGTACTCCGTCTTAGCGTTGTATGTAATTTTCTATGATACAAGGAGATACAATACCTACCCAATTTGCTTCGCGGCTTTCGCTAGCAAACCTAGGGTGGGAGTGAAGGATATACCACGTGTTGCAGGAGGGATATCAACTGGATCACGGAGCATCTTGATCCCGATTAATCCCGATTAATCCCGATTAATACCCCTGTATGACCCACTATCTGATTAACTACCAGCTTACTGCCAAGTGCCTAATAAAAAGCAGGAGCTCTAGTAAGGAAGGTTTACTAATTATTCACCTTCTAGTAAGGGTAGCTAAAGCTCTATATATATAAGTCTAATTATAGTAGATATAATCTAATAATCTATCTCCTAAATTATTCCTAACCTTAGTAATCTAAATTTCTATAGTTATAAGCCTAGTTCGCGCTTTACCTTATTAAAGATTATCCTATCTATTTAAGCGTATTATTTAACTTAGACACTAAGCTAGCAAGCTTTACTCTTTTTTTATACTATTTCTTAAGCAGAAGCTTACTTATTACTCTTCTACTATAAGTAACTAAATCCTAAAGGGGGATATCCTACTTACTAGATTAACTAACTAGCCTACCTAGTATATTTAATTCAGATACTATACCCTAACTAAAGGGATCTAGGTAGAGGTAGACCCTAAGGCTTAGGATGCTAAAAACCACTTTAAGAATAGACCTATTAAGCCTAACATGCTAATAGATACAGTTTAAGGCTCTTTAGCTACGGATGGCCGCAGGGCGGGAGAGTAGTATAAACTCTTAATAGTATAGTACTAAGCCTGCTTATTAAATTAGGTATTAAAGTTATTAGTAATCTAGAACCTCTTTATATAGGTTAATAATATAGTAGATTAAGGGATCCTTACCCTAGCCTATATAGAGCTTATTAATTAAGGAAGAGTAACCCTCTAAGCACTTATCTAAGTGCTCTATAATAACCTAGTACTAACTAACTTAAGTACTATAATACTAGTAAGATTATAGTATAAAGCTTATCTTACTAAGGTAAAGATAAGTAGCTAAGACACTAATTACTAGTAGAAGAAGTAGATAATCCTATATACGTAAGCTAAGGTATATAACATCCCTAATATTAAAGGATACCTTATAGTATAGGATTATCTTAAAGCTCTATCTACTAGGATCTTACTAGATTAGGGTTAAACTATATTTTAAAGGATTATTAAAAAGTTAGTAATAGAAGAGCTAACTTATAACCTCCTATAGGTTACTAAGATCTATTTATTACTACTCTAAGAGAATAACATAAGATTAAGCTCTAAGGGTCCTAGAGTATTTGCAATAATAGGAGCTCTACCTTCTAATTAACCTAAGAAGGAGTCTTTATACCTATATAGTAGATCTTACCTATAGAAACCTCCTAAATATAAAAATATTATTAAAGCTTAGACTAATATAGGTAACAAGCTTACTACTACTTAATAATTAGAGATTAAGAAAAAGATTAATAGGAATCTAAAATTTAAAGAGTTAAGAAAAGCTCTAATTAAGTCCTATCCTATTAATCAAGATTATAGTAGTAAGGTAAGTACAATTACCTATCTAGGTAGTATCTAGGCGGCACTAATTAACCCTATATTAATAGTAGAGAAAACAAACAGGATCTATTTAACTATAGACTTTAAAGCTTACGCTCTATTAAAGAGCACTATCTTTAACAACAGGGGTATAGTACACCTAGTTAATAATATAAGCTACCTAGAAGAAAGCTTATTTAGATTAGTTAAATATAAGACAGTTAAAGCAGGAACTTAAGGTTTTCTAATCTTAGGCAGAGGGACTAGAGTAATCCCTAATGCACTTAATAGACCAAGAGGTCCAAAAATAGAAGATTTAGTGCTTACTAACGTGGTGTTAGTAGAAGGATTTTATGTGAATATTATATTAGAAGCTTAATTGCTTAAAGCAGGAGTTTAGTTCCTTAGGCTAGATGCTACCTTATAGTTTAGATTATTAGGAAAGAGCGTTGTATTAGCTAAGTTACTACGCAAGTTTAACTTAACTTTCCTAGAATACAAGCCCTCTAATCCTTATCTAATAATCTAAAGCATAGTGCCTAAATAACCCTAGCAATCCTAGACAACTTACCTAAGATATAATAGTGAGGAGCTTTAGCACTAATAATTAGGCTATTTAGGACCTAAGGCGCTTAAAGCTTTGTTAAGTTAGCTATAAATATTAGGATTAAAGGAACTCCTAGGAGCAAATGCGAGTACTGCGCTATTACACATGCCTAACAGGTTATATTAAGATAACTAAGGGAAAGATTACTACGTCTATACTACTAGGTATTATAGGATCTATTTAACATGCTAATAGGTATAGCTTACGAGTAATAGATCTTAGTATTAAAGTGCGACTACTTAGGAAAGCTTTATACCTATCTACTATAAGCTAATAACCTTAATAAGATTATATAGGTGTTTAAAAATTTTAAGAGCTTAATACTTAACTAATATAAGCTTAGTATAGTTAAGCTTATACAAGACAACAACGTTGCAACGCTCCCTTAGCGTGGCGAATCTTGCTTTTAGATCTAGGTAGCTAATAATAGTATTAAAATCAAGAGCTCACCTGTATATACCTATAAACCTAATAGAGGAGCAGAAAGAGTAGGGCAGGAGATTATAACGAAATTAATTAAAATAAGGATTAGTGCTAACCTACTAATAAAGCTCTAGCCTAAAATTATTAAAGTAGCGACTTGGCTCTATAATATAAACCTGTCCTATGCTTATAATATAATATCACCTAACAAAGTGCTAGATTGTTAGTTTACTAGATACTTTAGGTAGTAGTAACTAGAGCAGATAAGGGAGGTAACTGCTAATCTCTGCCCTAATTAGAGCGGAATATACGCCTATAGCTGTCAAGCTTACCCCCTTAATAGAGATTAAGTAGCTAGGCGTTATAAGAGGGTTTTTAAGGTAAGCCCTTAGCGTTATATTAGATATCTAGTAGGATATAGAGTATCTAATATATATAGGATATAGATCCCCTTGCTTAATTAGATTATTATAACACGGAACGTTACCTTTAATAAGGATCTTTTCTATAAAGAGAAAGATCTAGAGCAGCTTTAATAGTTAGAAGCTTAAAAGATAGTTAACGTTATTAGCAAAGATAAGATCTGCGATGCAGGAGAAGCATATAAAGAGCTTAATATCTTTAATTAGCTTTATATTGCGGTAGAGTAATATAAGGAGTCTAGTAAGTAAGGAGGACTAAACTTAGCGCAGGAGCTAGGGGGTAGGGTAGAGCTAGAGGAGGTAGATAATTAGGCTAGCTAGCCTAGTAATTCACAACCCCCTAAGCAGACACCTCTAGCGTGGGTACTAAGTATAGCTAGCTTAGCACAAAGGATCTATATAAAGTCCCCTAAGCTAATAGGGCTCTAAACTCCTAAACTAATACTAGAACTAAACTTTAGTATAGGAGATAAAGGATCTATATAGGTTATAGATTAGGGTCTTACTACCTAAGATAGTAGTAATCTAACTTATTTTAACGCTATAATAGGTAGCTCCTAGGAAAGACCTAGAGAGGAGAGTGCTATTAGTAGGTTACTTTATAAGATTACAGAGATAGGTAAGGGCACCCTATCTAGCTCTTATAGGGGTGGTAAGCAGAGCTCCTACCTACCTGCTTTAGGACTAGATTCTGTATCTCCTGCAGATCCCTTACAAGCGGCACCTAGAGCTCCTAGAAGAAGTAGAAAACTGCAAGTTAAAGGACTACTACTAACGCGTATTAGTAAGCAAGCTTAGGGACAGGACCCTAATAAACTACTAGGAGGCTCTATAAGTGCAGGGATATATATAGTAATAGATCTATTAGATATAGATCTAATTAGAAATCCCTTGTATAATCTTTTAGTATATCCTAAACTAAACGCTATAATCTACGCTATAATCATAGTAGTAATAGGGAGTAAATGTCCTAAAAACCCTAAAAGAAATACGCACTAGGACGCTCTATAAAAAGAGCTAAAATAATAGAAGGATCTCTATAACTACTAAATAGAATAGTAATTTAGAGACGTAGTATATAAATAAATTAATACTCTACTAAAAGCTAGTACCTAGGAGGAGATTAATAGGCTAATAAAGGGAGAGTATTTACTCCTATATAAATAGGTGTTTACATATAAGCTTAATTAGGATAGTTACCTAATTAAGTGCAAAGTAAGGATACTAGTAAGAGGAGATCTATAGCTTACTAACTTAGTTTATTTAACCTACGCAGCTACCCTAGTAGCTTAAACCTTTAGGACTATAATAGCTATTAGAGCTAAGTTTAACCTTAAGATATATTAATATAATGTTGTTAGAGCTTTCCTTAACGCCTTAAGGGATTAACACCCTATAGTTATCTGCAAGCTACCTAAAGGATATTAAATACCTAGGAAGTGCGTTAAGCTTAAACAAGCTCTATATAGACTAAAAGACTTACTATTATTATAGTATAATAAGCTCTTAACTACACTCTAAGAAAATAAGCTTATTACTTCTAAAGAGGAGCTATGCCTATTCTTTAATAGAGATTGCAGCATCTTATTAATATTCTATATGGACAATATCCTATTACTCTATTACTAAAACTACGCAAGCTAAGCTCACAAAGTAATCCAAGCTCTAAAGCAAAGATATACTATAGAAGAGAAGGGACCTGTGAGCTGGTTTCTAGGGGTAAGAGTAAT